CGGCCGTTTCGGAATTTGCCTGCGTCCCATTCACTTGGAACGCGTTCTCCGTGGTTGTCTCTCTCGAGTCGTTCATACTCCTTCAACAGCTTCTCTTTGAGCCTCGATGAGCGTCACACCCTTGGCGTTCTCCACGATAGACGATATGAGCTCGTATTCGGCGGGGAGGCTGCTCAGCAGTACCACCAGCTGACGTGCCTCGTCCATGGGCTCTCCCAGCGTCTGCAAACCGACGATCAGCTCATCAAACGCATCCAGATGCTTGGCCATAGACGATCCGCTCTCCATCTTGAACTCGTGCAGTCGACGCGTCATCGTCACGCGGTTGTGGAGCGTGGTGCGATTGTAGAACTCGCGGAGCGTTTCCCATGCTTCCATGGAACGCGTCGCCGACCGGATCTTGGTCTGGTGCTGGAGTTCCACACCCTGGGCGATGATGCCAAGCGCCTTGGCATCGTTGACGAGCCACGCCTCTGTGATCTCGTTCTCTGGCTTGACGACTTGAATATGCGCAAGCAAGCCCTTTCTGGCTAGCGTCATGCGCATATTGTACTCCCAATGGAAGTAGTTCCCACTCCCGAGGAGGACTTCGGCACGCTTGGTAGTCGTCATGGTCTTGAGCGTTCTTAAGTGGAGCGTTCTGCTTCTGGAGCGTTCCTGCCTGGAGCGTTCCGGTCGAGTTGAGGTTGCGGCTGTTAACCTGTTGTTGTGTTAGCGGTAAATGCCGAAGTGAGTAGATTAAATTCAATTAAATCTGCCCTCTAAACTTCTACTCTAGCGTTGTCCTCCTTGTTGTCCTCTTGTCAAGCGCTCCTGGCCATCCACCAGATTAACCGGTTTGGGAACGGTCCATCCTAGAACGTTCCGCCCGTTAATTGAACCGTGCAGAGTCGGTGTGAATTAACAATTTTACTACTTCGAAGTAGACTTCTTGGTTTAGTGTTTAGATAATCTTTCTTTATTGGATCAGAGTCCAGACTCTTGCTCAGACCTTGAAGGGTAACTGTAATCTAAGATCATGATTATACTGTATGATCATACCGGACCAGTAATCTGTACGTAATATATGTTTTAAAAGATACAGTGCGAATCTGTTTATCTACTATTATACCAGGTACTTTGCTGTAAACCGCGGGCTGTAAAAAAAACCTATTTCAGAGATGCTAGCGTGGTAAGAAAATCTGTCCACTAAATGCAAGTTTCTTAGACAAACGTTATTAAAAGGACTAAGGTGAGTGTCTCTATATTTCTTTGAATCGCTTTTTTCTTTTCCCGACTTGATGATTTTTACGCTGTTGTACTGATACCGTGCGTCCGTGGTTTACGGTAGCTAGATTAAATATAGACAGAGAGAGGTTGTACGGTAAACATGGACGATGCAATGTTGTTTTACATGTACAGTACTGCACCCCGTTTTCGCGCCTTTCGACCTTTGTTAAACTTCCGGATGTGATGATCCAGTATCCAAATGAAGTATAACTTGTAAGCGAAAACTGATTTATATGCAAATTCTATATAGTCCACCCCCGCGAAAACGGGGTGCAGTACTGTACCATAGAACGAAATGGCATTTCAGGTGCTGAAGCTACGAAGTCTTTGTCAAAGGTGTACATGTACTACTGGTAGGCGAGGACGGATGTCATCATAGAACAGCTCATGAAAGTTGGAGATGTCGACATGAAATCTATCTCCTTTCCTAAACCCCAAAGACTTCTTAGCCTGCTTAACCCTATCTAGCCGAGCGAGAGATGGTCCTGCAACCCCCTCTTTCAAGTTAAGGGTGCACCAACATATACGGCTTTTCAGCAGCCCATCACCCCTCCTCTGCCCATATAATCTTTGTATTAGAATGCATTGTAAAAAAACTTTTCCGAAATGTTGACAATTTTCCCGTGACGATTGATAATTTTCCTTAAGCGCCGAAAAATAACCGCATTCTATTGATCAGGAATAGAAATCTAAATACTTAGATAAAGAGTGAAAAAAACCGACATTCATGTGATAAATCCAATCAAGTACGCAATCAATGATTGGAGACTCTAATTTCAGGAAGTCTCTTTAGACTTAAGAACGCAAGAGGCGGGTGAATTATCTTCTGTTTGCAAAATAAAGATAAAGAAAGGAGGAAGCGTTTATGTTCGGCAATCATTGATTGCCGAGTCGAAGCACTGGCATTCGACGTGCTAAATGATTGCCTGGACACCCAAAAAGCAAATTTTCGGAACCAGCGATGTTTGACATCCAGCAACATTACTCGGATCTTAAAGTTGTGGAACCAGCTGCGTGCAAACAAAACTGAAGTTGCGCAGCCATCCGTCAGATTATATTTTAAGTACCTGGTAAGCTGTAAATTGTTTGTCAACTCGCCGACAAGAACCTGCACTCCGGCCAAAGATAATGTATAATATCGTATCCTCTGGAGTGTCTTAAGCTCCATTATCTCTAGTTCTAATTGTGCTATCTCATTCACACAGGTGACTTTGGGACATTATTTTTATCTCTACAAGTTTTGTTGTTGTTGGCATCCAATTTTAATCAATCACTTTCGATTTTTATCCTACGGAGATAAGAGCATGATCGTTACACATTGGGAGATCATAAATCATTGATCTCCAGGTGTGAAGCGAACACGCTCTTATCGTAAACCAAAATTTCCAAACCGCAAGCGAAAACTACATTGGACCGATAATGACCTAAGAGAAAGCAAGTTTATTCACTTTTAGCCAGATTTTAGCCAGTCTAGAAAAGGATGGGGACAGGGAAGGGATTACCTTGACAGAAAAACTGTCGGAATCTGTCGGGTTGCCGAATGCCCAAATTGGCCGTTCTACCAGGATTTTAGCAGCGTCCATCGGATCTCTTTGCGATTTTCTTGTCCGGATTCTTGCAGCTAGCAATTCCCAAATCGCATGAGCTGCTGTAAGTGACGCCATCAGTACCACACACAGGCTCGTACACGTCGGGGCAGACCTGGGAGCAATTTGGGATAGTGTTGCCACGGCGTGGGCCTTCCACGAAAGTGGGATCTTGAGTCGGTAGCGAGTGAGGGTCAATATTGTGGTAATTGCCGCCGTTGGTGGAGCCGGCCAGCTCATCCATAGCCTTCTTGAGCTCTGGGTTGTCACCTGCAGGCTGTTGAGGACTAAGCCCCCGAAGATCCTCAGGGTTCACAGTCGACAACGACTTAGGGTCGATGGTGAGGGTGTTGGTCGTGTCTAGCTTGCGATGGTCCTTGATGGGCACTTGAGGACCAAGACCATTCACGTAAGCAGGGTTTTGAGTCGGCAGCGTGCGGGGATCAATGGAAACGTCCTTCCAGCCGCTCAGCTGTTCAAGTTCCTTCTGTTTGTCGACAGGGATACTGGGCTCCCTAACCATATCAGGATCCACGTAGTTAAAAGTCTTTGGGTCCAAATTCTGGGTGCTAGTGGACTCGGCGGAGACACTGGCGGGCAAATGCGACTACAATAAGTCCGGTGACAAACTTCATCTTGAGAGGTGGGGAAGGGTGTGGCAGTGCGCGCAAAATTGGGAATGGCCATGTAGCGCTCACCTCAGCGCCAACGTTTGGGGACATGTTGATCCCGAAGATACGTGTAATCGATTGCGAGGTTGAAGCCAGTTAGCACTTTGTTACGTTGTAAATGTGCAAAAAACCATTTGTGGAAGCCTGACTAAGCAGTTTGAACAGAAAAAGAAGCCGTCACGTGCCCATGATAAAGCGTACAACGGATTACGAACCACCCGTGATCGTTTATCAAGGGACCGTAAGCTACGCAGTACAGCACGCTATTTTATCAACTGACCTGGAGCATGTCAAAGAGCGCAACGAGAGCATTTTGCTGCCAGCTGCACTAGCAGCCTGCAACGCATTGAACCTGTGGTTAACCTCGTGTTAAACAAACTGTCATCTACCACCTCGTGATGATGTTGTACGTGCACATCAGTTTTTTTAATTTAGGAGTACTATCCTGCTCTTTGAAAAGAGATGTCCCTCTCGTATTAATAATGCGCACCTGTTTTATCTAATAGGACCGAGCTATTTAAACGATAGATTTAGGAAATGTGTGCATTGAGCCCTTGAAAATGAAAGAGCCTGCGAGATTTGAGCCATACCCTACCGTCTGAGATCACGAGCCAGGACTAATCACTACCCCTCCCCATACACACACCTTACCGGTATCACACAATATCAATTTCTATTATAATAAGAAATAAGCTTGAAACAAAGTTGCGCACGGTTTTAAACAGAAGTTATTTTTTAATGACCAGGGCAACAAAAGTCGCTCGACTGGATTGGTACCACTCCGGTCCACTTAAGAATCGACATTCGGTTTTTGACCCATAACTTCTTTCAGATTTTTTTTCTTAGTGAGCTGGCAATAATTGTGAAGGGCTATCAATAACAGCTGAAACTGCTGTCAAATTCACATAAAATAAGGTTGATCTGCAGCTGTCGAGGTCAAAATTAAATTTTAAATGTAATTTTGACCTCGACAGCACGACAGCTGCACACATTTAAGTACTTGTAATATATATTGTGTTAAGGTAAATAGCAAGAGCGTATTTAGGATGTGGCATTTATTCGCTTTTAGATTTTTGAGATGCAGAATGCCAGTGAAGTGTGCAAACACCACGAAGTGCAGCATATTAAAAAGCTTTAGAATTAAAAGAGCTGGTTGAGTTAAATAGTCGTTTAAATGCCGTTTTACGGACACCTTGACGTCTATACGTATCTGGTAGTGAAAGAGTTTAAGAGCTAACTATTTCCGAAAGCGAGCACATTTTTAGCTAAGTGTCCATTATTAGTCGGGCACGGGGTACACATTTAGTAGTGCGCTGTAGATGCAGCTAAGACATCTCGGCACCGGTATATGCGGCAGTTTGGGGAGACAGCGGAGTGACCAAAACGCAACCAGAAGTGATAGGGCAGCGTCACGCCTACGTGGACTCGTACAGCAGCCCAATTTGATCTGCACTGCACACTACCAAGAGTAGTGTGACCAGAGGGTGATAGTATCTCGTATTTCGCCAATATCGTAAAAATAGGAAAGGGAATACACACAACTTGCACGCTTATTAATATTTAGTAAGCCAGGTCTACACCAGGAACACCGATCCACGAAGCGTGTAGTGAATTGCCACTATCGAAACAGAAAATACCGCGGATAAGGAGAAAAGGACAGACACGACGTGAGCGTAATATGGACAAGAAGTTGAGTAAAACTGAGGAAAAAACACTTAGAAAAGCGACTCAGACGTGGAGATATGTACTTGGCTGCGCGTATGGGCTTCAGTATGTCCACGATCGGGGCCTTGTGCACGAACAGTTGACTATAGACAACTTAATAAACTCACAGGCATCGCATAAGGGTGTTTTAAGTGGGATGAACTTAGTCCGTCGACATGAAATTGGGAGCTTAGACTCCGATACGTGTCCATCGGTAGCGTCAGATATTTTCGCGTTTGGAATTGCAATTTTTGAGATTCTGGTGAAGGACAGATTGGCTGAAAACTCTCAACCGCGCGACAATCTCCCAGACATGCGACCGAATTTTATTAACAAGACTGAGTGGGATCTGCTTGTACACATGTGTACAGCTGTTGCTGAGAGAATCGGCATGATGGACATTGTACACGAGCTTACAATGCTGGCAAGGTTCTCAGTTACCAAGCAGCCAAGTGACACTTCAGCTACTATTGAAGATGTGAGTGGGTACACAATTCAGACGTTGGGGATGACCCTCGATGCAACGTTGCAAGAGATCGAACAGCTTTGTAGTGAGCCGCACTACGACAGCTTCGAGAATGTGAATCGCCCTGTGTACGACCGTATAATGGACGTGTATCAACAACTTCGAGACAGCTCAGGCCCAGTGTCTATGGATTTATTAGAGAGCTTTAGTCTCATCGTGTTGCGATTCTTTGACATGCTTGACCGACGCGCTTTAGGCGGCACAGTGTCGTGGCCAGTATCTGCGCTTCAGGCACAGTCGCAGGAAGGAATTACAGTTTCCATCACGACATTGGCACGTTGTTGAGAACTTCTTTACTGCAGACAGCACCTGTTCACAACTGGCAAGAAACGTGGAAAGAGACTCGACGTCGTCAGAATAACACGTTAAAGTCATATTTAGAGGAACCCGAGCTTTTCCTAGCGCGAATATCAACCGAGAAGGATCGATCCGAAGCGGTAGCGATGATGCAATTTGCTGCGACTGGACTGGCGGGTGTTGAGGACACTGAAGATCTTCCGTTGTGGTTCATTCCTCCGTATCAAGTGCAGCTAGGCAAACACAAGGCGGATGGCTCTTTCGGAGCAGTTTACGAAGGCGAATGGCTCGATACGGATGTGTTAGTAAAGCAGCTTCTTTTAGCCTCGTCTGATGAGAACGGGGAGCAATTTCGACACGAAGCAGACTTGTGGTTCTCGTTGAACCATCCGAATTTAATTAAACTTTATTTACTAGAATACATCTCCGATGTTACTCTTTTGAGCGACGACATGCGCTTCAAATCTGATAAGTCTGCAACAAATGTCTGTTTTTTTAAGTAGGAAAGTACGACAAACTTAGCGTCACCACAGCAGAGAATACTGACCGTGAATCATCACGTTATCCAAGATTGCTGTGAGAAAATAAATGGCAGCCAGGTTATCCTTGATCACTTGATCACGTTAATCAAGCTCACATAGAGCGCGAAAGTTCTCATCTCATCGATTTCCTCATCTAAACAGGGGCCTTCTTTATTTTACACAAGAGCCAACTTTGCTGTCCATTTTCGTATTTCTTCCGTCAAACTTATTTTTTTACCGTCGTCCACGGAAGCTTCATGACTGTCACCAGTAGCTCGTCGCAACGAGCGACCATTGAAGTTCGACAGTATCGCCCCGAAGATCAAGCCACTGTCACCAAGATTTTTATCGAGGGCTTGATGGCGTTCGACGACAATCCAAACTTTCGCTATCTCTGGGAATAGTGTCTGCGCGAGGATCTAACGAACGACCTCGCAGATATCGAGTCTAGCCACATGGCCCCCGCTCGAGATTTGGAGCTGAACTCCACACCGAGAACACCCGACGTCGGCGACACCGGTCTCTGTACCGCGTTAGCGTGATTGCCGGCAATTTGCCACTGGCAACTTGCCACGCAACTTGTGTGACGCAAGACAATTCCCGCGGACCGCAGGCTGCGGTGTCGATGCCCCTCTGGGTCTCACTGACACTAACGCAATGCGTGATGCTTGGGACTCACATTGGGTGTCAATATGTTGGACTCCAACTTCGACGTGACTCACGAGGGTCCCTCCCGTCGGGAGCCCTGAGGCCCTCAGTGAGGGATCCGGACTTTGAGTCATAGGGATGGTCCACAATATCATACGATGGCAACTTCTGGGTGGCAACTGCGACACAAGACGGGCATAGCAGGATCGCTGGGATCATCGGCTTACAGCGTAGATCTGACAACATTGGAGACGTCCGACGTCTGTTTGTTGACTCGAATTGCCAACGCATGGGGGTAAGACGGAAGCTCCGCAATTATACAGAGCGAGGCCTTTGGATCATTTATTTGGGTACATCAAATAGCCTTTTTCTAAATTTGGGGTAGCTTCGATAAAGCTGCATTAATCGAAATATTGTCGCAAATTGAAGAAGTGCACGCCAAGCTTCGCACATGGGAACAATGTACTCTTTTTTTCGATGAACCCCAAACGCTGTGGTTTTACATAGGCTAAAATGAATCGATGACAACCGGTGGAGTACCATTACCACAACCTCTCCAGCATGTCGGAAATGCACAGCAGCATCAATTCAACAAGATTTTACAAATTTTGTATCGACAGAAACTCCCTCACACACGGCATAGGAGCTGAGTTCTTCCTTTCTGGCAGTTGATGGCGTCGCTAATGTGACGGGCAGTTGTGGAGCGCGTGGATCTCATATTCAATTAATATTGTCCGATCCCAGTACTTGCTGTAGCGACTTGACTGTTTCTCGCTCTGGGAAAAACTATGGAGCTCGAGCTTAGGGAGCTCGCCTCCTAATTTTATTGCCAAAGAATTTAGAGCTCGAAGAAAATGCTGAAAACTGCCATAATAAAACATCGAAAATCAAAATCCTCACTAGGTACGATTGTAGCCATGTCAAGTAGAAAAAAGGCAAGTTGAAGTGGATCGATTCGATTTACGAGTGCCCTTGCAGCAATAAGCTGAAACTTAGCAGCTTGTCAACGTTTAGAGGTGGCCAGATTTGCCGCGGTGGTCATAGTCACCGCGGTGGCCGTAGTCGCCGTGACGGTCATAGTCACCATGGTGGCCGCGGTCGTCGTGGTGGTGTCCATGGCGGTGGTCCTCCGTCTCGGCATCGACCTTGGTTCCAGCAGTAGGCATCTCAGCAGCAGAGGCCAACGCCACGGCGGCAGCAAGAGCAGCGATGAGGGCGAAAGTCTTCATTATGATTTGGCTTGATCTGAATGGCAGGGGTCCAATTGAACAATGAGCTGAGGAAACAGAATAGACTAACGAGGCTGTGCCAGGTTCGAACAATTTCCTTGATCTCGCAATGATGGTTTTCAACGTCGCAATCAATAACATTTCTCCTTTCCCAGAAAATAATTAGGATTCTTCTCTTTCTTGTTTTGGCGAGAGCTTTTCATTCAGCAATCGGACATCTCGGGATCAAGTCAAGCAAAGCCCCCGGTCTGCTGTCAAGATGAAGACGATTGCGATTCTTGCTGTGTTTGCCTACGCGGCGGCACTCGCCGCCGCTGATGAGCCTTCTCTCAAGGGCGCTGCAACAACTGAAGCTGAAATAGCGCAAGTCGACGAAGCAGCAAAAGCTGCTGCGACGGAAGACCACGAGTGGAATGGTGGAGGCGGATACGGCGGCAGGTACGGCGGATATGGCGGTTATGGTGGCTACCGCCGTCGCTGGGGAGGGTACGGAGGAAAATATGGCTGGCGCGGCTGGTAAGGAGCAGCTCTGACGCTAACGCTCACGTGACGAAACGCACAATCAGTAACTGAGATTTTGAATGCAACAATCTTCACCTCCACTATTTTTTGTTCAGTTCGAGACTTCGTTATGCATAAACAAGTATTGTTTAGCACAAAGTAATATTTTTAGTACGAGTTAGTTTAGCATTAATACATATGAGACCACCCAAAACAAAATATTACTTACGAACCTAAGTACGAATCGCGATTTAAACGAAAGCGGGGCGTCTCCTCTATCACTTGAGCCCTTACAAGCTACAAAATGCTTAAAACTGAAGAAGTTGTGGTCGCTCAAAAATATTATCTTTATTTATGGGCCCTCGAAATGACGATACATTTAGGAGTGTTGTGAGCTCAAATTTTTTTAAGTTTAAAAATTCAAGTGTTGTTTGAAAGCTCTTGTTAAAAGCAAGTAGTTTTACAGTTTTTTTCGATGGAAGTTTACAATAAATGTTACAGCTCCGGTTAAATGCGAAAATCGATTGGCCAACTTTTAGCTCGATTGTCTCAATGATTCGTAAGAATTTACCAGACAATAGTAGACGGCGTAAAGTCAGCAGATTGATCCGAAAATACGTGAGCATTTACGACGCATGCTGGCGCACTTGAACTTGGCTGAATAAATGCCAGCACATTAGCGTAGAAATCTCCTGTAGCTTCTCGAGCGATGGCCGGTGCTGGTTGCTCGTGTGTCATTGTTCGTTTGGACTCCAAGTACTCAAGTCGAGATTCACCCAAGCTCCTCGCCTCCCATTCAGCATGAAGACGTCGTTTGCTTCACTCGTGATTGCGCTTGTCTACTTCCTCTCCTTCGTGGCTGCAGACCACCTATCGAACATGGTCATGACCTCGAGTCCAGATGACCAAACCAAGGTTACGACCTCTGGACTTGGTGCTGATCTTGGAGTTGTCACCAACACGATCGACGCCAAGAGCAACAATATCGTCGTCTCGAACAGCAAAATCTCCCTATCCAAGGACGACCGTGTGCAGCTCGCCCAGACTATCAAGGAAATGATGGCAAATAGTCCGGATGCCGGCCCCGCTGGAGAGATGAGCGTGGAAGACCTTTTCGGTTTCTTGTCGCGCGTTGCAACCGTTGCTACGACCCCGGGTGTTCTTTCCAATGCTGCGGGTATCATTTCGGCGGCGAGGAGCGGAAACACGGCTGCGTTGGCTGGTCACGTGACGGGTCTCTTGGGCGCGGCAATTCCAGCTGCTCTTCCTGCGCCAGCGCTAGCGCCAGCTCCGGTCTCCCCTCCGGTCTCCCCCATGCTTCCTCCGACCATGCCAGTCGCTGCTCCTGTCGTCACGCGTGCTGCTCCTGTGGTCCCAATCGCGCCGATTTACGCCACGACCGCCCGTGTCGCTGCTTTGCCTTCCATGTCGGCTTAAACGTGACCAACACTTACAGCTGCAATAGTTGTCGGATTTTCGTGAGTATCGAAACTGTCAAAGGATGGTAGTAGGGTTTGTGACGAACAGAGTAGTCCAAGGATACGATCTAGCTTAACCTTTTTTAACAGAACGTATTGTGATGACCCCTCTTGATTAACACTTTTTTTAATCTTCAGTTTTTCTGTCTTCATGCTGGACAAGTTTTTTTAAGTATTGCCTTCAGAAAAATACATGAAGTTTAACGCTTAAGGCTTTATTGCACGATTTCATCTGAGATAAATAAAATAAAGCTTTTTTTAGACTCCTTAAAAGAAGTTTGGCCTATAAGATTTCTCTGTGATTTTTTCAATACCGGTATATCCATCCTAGCTTAAAATCATTATCCGTCTGGCTCGAAGTACCCAAGCCGGTTTTCACTTCACCTGTATTATACAGCATAAGTATTATAAGAGGTTTTAATATGCAGCGAACAATGAAACATCAAACTTTTTTGCATACTGGAATTTGTATTGGTCGGTTGCAAATCCTAACGGTGACTGGTTTCTCGCACGTCGTTACTGATCTGGGGTTAGAGGAGCCCGTCTACGGATGCTATCGGGTGGATAGAGGTTTGTGTCGATCGCGCTATCCCACTCCCTCCCCACTACACTTGAAATCTCGGTCTCCCTCCGCCCCGCTCCGCCCAACTCGAACAGCATGGAAAAAACGTTCAAGCAGCTCTGGCGAGAGCTTTGCAAGCAAGGGTGGACACCGAAGCCCCCCACCGGCCTAAGTAGTGACCACCGCTACGTCCGCCCGGGAAGAAGCGTGAAAGGAAAGGATGGCGTCGACTACTTCACCGGTACAGCTCGCACCACTAGTTTGCATCGATTACAACAACTTTACTAACCGATTTGTCCCCTCAGGCGAGAAAGCGCTACTGGCGTTTGCTCGACAGCGTGGCTGGTTAGAGTATAGTGTTATCGCTGGAACTATTCCTCCGTACCCTTCGTCGACAGCATTGACAGCACCGCCTGCAGACAGCGGAGCGTGCGATGATAGGCCCACCTCTGCCGCAGCTGATCGCGTCGAAAGGGAGACAGCACCAACGACTACCCCGCCTGCTAAAGAGAACGTGCCAGCTACGACGACCTCTACTGCGACGGCAATCACTGTAGCCAGTACAATTCAAGCTCGGGCTTCGAGTCCAGTTACTTCGGCTAATACAGCACAAGCTCGGCCCTCGACCGCAGCTGCTCGACCGGCTACAGCACAAGTTCGGACTGCGAGTGTGGCTACTCGGGATGCTACTGTACAAGCTCTGACTGTGCGTCCTGTTACTCTGGCTTCTACAGCACAAGCTTCGAGTGTTATCCTGTCTGATACAGCAGAAGAAAACACAATGACGCTGCCTCTGCATCTTGATACAGCAGAAGGTCATGCTGCAGTAGAGGAAGAGGAAAAAGGTGAGGAGCCCGAGCTTGAAGACGTTGCAGAGTTCAACATGCACGATTCGAATGGATTCATTTTCGCTTTGTCCAAGTGTGAATGGTCTCAAAATGCGGATGCAGACGATCCCAATCTCTGTGACTCGGACTCGGAGAGCGACAAGTCTGATGAGATTGATACGGAAGATTATATTCACGAAGTAATGGACACGGAAGTGGGCTTGGCAAGTAATGCCGCCGAGGATGCTCTGAGCGACAACGATGACGGATTAGATGACGCCGAATTCTTCGAGGATGTTGCTGATGATGACTGGTCCCCTCGAGAAAATGCCAATGCCAATCCTGATTTTCTCCGTGACGCGGAATTGAAGGCGGTTTCTTCTGCGTGGGTTGTATACGATCAAGACCACAGTGGAGACCTGCAAGTAGATGGTGCATCGGATCTGTACAATGGCCGGTGGGGTCCAACGGAGTCTGCGCGAACGTATGCGGAGTCACCTCTTGCCATGTTTTACTACTTCATGCCGAAGTTGATGTGGACCAAAATTGCTGAGGAATTCAATCGATATCGTGCGAGTGTGGTAGATGAAGTCGCTATCCAGAAGCAACGCCGTCAGCAACAGTGGCAACTTACACACCCAGATAGTCGAGTCCAGTCGTTATCGGATATCAAAGACACTTTAAGCAAGGTGAAACCCTTTCAAGCTCACGAGATAGTTCACTACATTGCACTGCTTATAGCTCGTGCACTGTGCGCCCACCGGCGTTCACTAGGAGATCACTGGTCGACGTCTGAGAATGGGGCAATTCCACGAGGCACGTTCGGCAAATTCATGACTCGCAAGCGATTTGAGGAGATCACGCGCTATCTACACTTCAATGACAATGCGAACGACCGGCGTAAGAAAGACAAAGCTTGGAAATTGCGTCCTGTCCTCCAGATGATTGAGAAGACCTTTCGAAACGGATACCGATTGGGTTCCACGCTTTCCTTCGATGAAGGGATGATTGGCAGCAGGCATCAATACAACCCGATGCGAATCTACATGAAGGACAAACCAACGAAGTGGGGAACCAAGTTTTACATGGTTTGCTGTTCTGATACAGCATACTGTTCTCGGTAAGTCGTCTTATGATGTAGCCTACAGCAGAGCGCGGATGGTATCTAATGCTGTGTGTTTATGGTGAATCATACAGAATAGAGATCTATCGCGGGATGCAGCACGAGACGGGTTATTGTTCAGCGAAAGCGTAAGGGGGATGGCGTCTCTCTTGAAGTTGCGTGCCCCGAGCTGGTTCGTATCTACAACAAAGGCATGGGAGGAGTAGACCAACACGATCAGCTGCGACTTCACCGCTATTCTATCCAGAAAGCACTGCGCCATCGATCCTACTACAAGAACCTGTTTTTCGGTATCGTTGACATGGCATTAGTCAATGGGTTCATTATCCACAAGTTAGTGATGAAAGCGCAAGGCAAACCTGTTCCCACCCATGCTGACTATTTGGCGCGGCTACACGTGGAGCTGCTTGCGCAGCAAAAGGTGGACTTTCAAGGCAACATGCACGCCCAAAACTTACTTTCGACCCCACTGGCAGGACAACCGCACGTGCTGACAAAAACTGCGGAAACCTACAAGAACAAAGTCCGTCAGTATTTTATGCAAAGTATGTTCGGCCTATTCCGACAAGGAATATCGCAGCTTCGAGACACCGTACTCTTGTGAAGAATGCTCGCTTACCTTTGGGGGTCGCGTGGCTCTTTGCAGCAAGGTTCGCAGAGAGGAGCGAGGCAACACCGACACGTGCCATCAGACATGGCATATCACCTGGAAGAATGGCACCATCATCCCACCGGACATGAGAAAGAAAATTAGATTCAGGAAAAGAAAGCTGCAGGAAGTAGATGACGAGTAGCTCACCTCTGATCTAATGTGGAGGAAACTTTGCCCAGTTGTTGTTTACACAAGTCTTTGCTTGACAAATGGGCAAAAGTTTTCTCCGCGGAAAGCGCGGGGTAGCTGCAGCGCTCTCCACGCCACCAGTTTTGGCGCGAATCGCCACGACGACTTCCGTACATCGAGTGTGAAAGGGTAACGAGTGCTACAGACATTTTTCACGATTTTGCACAAAATGTATCCATCAATCTAGCCAATTAGGACTCTTGCATTTACTGGTAGCATCATAAATTGTACTAGAATCCGGCTCGATTGCTAGAAGGGGGCTACAAACAGATAAACTTCACACAGGTACGCCGTCATACTATAGGAAAGCTTATTCCTTTTGCTGTATAATACAGCATAAACAGAGGGGCTAGAAGGGTTAAAGATGTTACAAACACTTCAATATTATATTTGAGCTATTAATTTGCGTTCCATTCTGCTCAAAGATCATTTTTAACGGTGTTTTACCGTGTCATTTTTATTCAGATGGTTGCTCATGATCCTAGACTGCAACTTCCGGAAGTTGCACCTCAATTATCTTGATCCTAGCAGGAGGCTCGTTAGTCAGTTCTTCTTGGAGAGCTTGTTCTGTCGTGTCAGTCGATGTAGCATGACGAGCAGGCTGTTCGGAAGCCCCACGAGCTGAACTGCGTCTCTGAGTGAACGAAGCTCTGCTGCATGTTTTCCCGTTGAGGGTGTCTGGAAGCTTCATCATTTTGACGAAATCATTGTAGTTTACTTGTCCGTCCTTGTCAGCGTCGGCCTTTCTGACCATCTCTTTGCACTCTGCAACATCAAAGTGCTGACCCAGAAGAGCCTTCAGATCGTCCTTCGTGATAGCACCACGATGTGAGCGATCCAAGACATAAAACGTGGATAGAAGCAACTCTTCATTTGCTGCGTCTTCAGGACTGATAGTGGCAGCGACGAACTCGAGTAAGTTGATTCCGTTTTCGTGCTGTTGATCAAGACTGCAACACAAACAATTTAAGCAAAGATTTAGGAGCAGAAGAGACTGTGCTGACGTACGCAGAGAAGATGGTCTCCAAGTCAAGTTGGAAGCGGATGAGAGCTGGCGCCAGGTACAGTTCTTGAAGCTTGAGTTGGCCGTTGTGAGCAATATTGAGCTCATTGTACACTGCTGCGTGGAGAGCGACCTGCTCAGATGACATACAGAATGCCATGGCCACTAGTGCAGCTCGTTGGAACGGCGTGTAGTGGCAGAAAGCTTTCACTCGCGGAATAAACTCGTCGTAGCTATAGCAGACAGCAAAGTATTAGAAGGAGGGAGAGGCATGAGCTGTCCAGTACGTACACTTCAGGAGGGATCGCTTGTTCGGTAGACCTGATCCACGGGTGTTGAAGCACTTGAGCAGCGGTGAAGCGATCTTCTGGTACCGTCTGTGTCGAATCCCAAAGGTTGGAAACATGACAATGAACACCCCATTTGTGAACCAAATGAAGTGCGTACGTGTAAGAGTTTACGAAGCAGTGCCTTGGCCTCGGGGGAGACCGTCTCCCACACTTTACTAGTGTACGTAACCTCGCCGGCAAAGATACTTTCGACGAGTTCGTCTTCAGTGTGTCCATGGAATGGAGCCTTGTTGCTGAGAAGCATGTACTTGTATTGACATAAAGTGAAACAGAACAGTTACCACAGCGTTGCAGACTTTACAGACCACTCGATGCGTACCATGATGACCCCCAAGCTCCACATATCGCACGTCTCCTTGTAGTTGCCTTCAAGAACTTCAGGCTGCAATGATCTCGTTACAACAGAGCCTTAATAATAGTGTTTTGTCGATAAATACTTACAGCCATGTAGACAACTGAGCCCAGAACCTTGCGCATACTAGCGCCTGATTTAAAAAGAGTGCTAGCACCGAAGCTACACAGCACAGATGGAGGTGTGAGTAGCTTCTATTTTCTCCAGATACATCTGGTGTATCGTACTCGCAAAGTTTGATGTGACCTCCATTGTCCAGGGTATCAACAAGGATATTCTCGAGTTTCAGATCACGGTGCTGAACATAGTTTAGACGACAATAAATCAATAGGGAGCGAAAGGGAGAACTACAATAATGCCAACTTACGCAAATGTTGCGCGAGTGCAAGTATTGGATAACAGATGCCAGGTTTCGAATGATATCCTTGACCTCATCTTCAGGGTATTCTTTATTACGAGCCTTGACTCTCTCGAGCAGCTGTTTAGCAAAGCAAGAAGTGAGCAAGAACATGAGAATAGGTTATTACGGAAGTGCTTACCGTGCCGCCAGGACTAAGCTCCATGATAATGAAAAACTGATGGTCATCCTCAAACGTCTCCAGCATGCGTACGATGTTGGGGTGGTGCAGGACACGAAGAATCCCCATCTCCTTTTCGAATTCGTGGCGTTTACTTCCAGATTCGAACCGCACGATTTTCATCGCAAAGTGGCGGTGGGTTTTGAGATGCTCAACCTTCTCCACGACCCCGAAGGCACCTCTGCCCAATTCACCTAGACTGCGATACACATCCGTCACTGGTGCCTTGTGGTGCATACAGAGTTTGGTCTGGAACATGTTCGGACGGATCACATCGGTGGATTGCGTGCAGCCCATGGCGGTCTCGTGAATCGCTGAGCTCGACACTGACCCCGTGGGGTGTACAGCGTGCTAGCTAACCGGGAAACCCAAGAATAGGGACTCACATCCCATTCTGTGGTACGACTCGTTATAAAATCTAAACTTGAGCTGAGATAGCAGGATTCCTTCGCTTTTCGTGAATTTGTGGCTTACTCGAAGTATATATTCAGAACAGGGGTAAGAGCTGCTGAAAGTTCTATACCTCGCTTAAACTGATTTTGTCAAATTGATAGTATGGATAAATCACGCAGGTCTGCTAAATAGCCTGCATATTACGCTCCGAATAAAACCTAGCAGAATCGCGGACATTGAGGTACTCGCAACTTGCCAGTACCGTAGCCTGCACTCCACGACACAGTTAGTGATCACGTACAGTACTGCATCCCGATTTTGCGCCCTTGGACCTTTGATAAACTCCCAGATGCGATGATCCTGAATTCAAATGAATTTTAATTTGTAAGCAAAAACCTCATTTATTTGCAAATCCTATATGGTCCACCCCCGCGAAAACGAGGTGCAGTACTGTACTACTAAGTAGGTGGTAATGGTTGGGTGACACTTGGTCGATGGCTGAATTATGGTCCACGCTCAAGACCATATTTTGTAGCGCCTTGCCGAAAAGAATATTGACGTCACGGCTACCACATCCACCACGAAAGTCATGAGTGTCGTGCCGCTGAACCTATATGCAAGTAGCGTCACGACTTCAGCTGTCATCATACGTACGACATCCACGAGGGTTGCAACAATAGTTGATGGCTCTTAGGTGATAACCATCCGCGACGGGCAATATCTCTACTCACAGGCATCGTGGACAGTGTCGACATCTAAGTATTTATACACAGCTCCCAGGCGACTAAATAATTAAATTAACCCTTGGCTATTAGCAATCCCTTAAATGGAGTACGATACCGGATATCAGTTTGCGAACGATTGAAATCATAGCGCGATTTTCTTAAAAATTCACTATGTGCATCTTACAAATTTATATGAATGAATGTTGACCGAACCGCGCAAGATTACGACAAAACACCTTTTGTACGAGATTTCTCTCTTAACTCTATTTTTCACTGCAGTATTTAAGATATACGTCCTGCTTTAAGCATTCCATCTTTCGAGCGACATGAGCGGCCGACACCAGTGCTATCGGCATATCAGTCCGTTTGTATCCGTGACGCAGAGACTGAGAAGTTGCGCCACTTCAACGGGGTATACTTATTGATCTTGACAGCGGATATAATTTGAACTCGTAAGTGTGAGGTCGCATGGATAGAGCAACATGAACACAAAAAAATATTTTAAATAGATGAGATCTACTATTTTATTTCGATACTGCGCTCAGTGGTTATGGATTGAGACCTTTACTACCTCTTATTTGTGGGAATATCAAAGAAGCTTCGCGGATTCACAAATACGCCAGCTCCGAGTTTGGCTTCACGAGCAATGAAAAAGTCTCGGGGGCTCAAGCAAATTTCAAAAAGTCTTACAGTAATGTGCAGCAAGAATCTTATTAAGCAGAAAAGGAAGTGTTTTGCAGCGGACCGGGCGCCAGTTATTGCTTTCACTTTTCAGAAGACATACAAAAAGACGAACACATTCAGCACACTAACAAGACCTACTAAGGTTTACTGACTTAGTTAGGTTTAATGTAAGTGTTGAACCTGAAGGTCCAGAAACTACCCTACCATGTTGCGATTTCCCCTGTGTACCGCGTTTCCCGCTAGCAAGCCATCGAAAGCTCACTACCTAGCTACGAGCATAGGCTTGAGTCTTCTTCTGCGCCTTATATCTCTCGAATATACCTCACAGTCCATTTAAAGAAATGACACCGGACGTGTTTTAGACCTGATACGGGAGAGTCGAAGTCAAACTCCGATCGGTAAGTAATATATGAATAGCCCACTAGCTTATCCAACACACAGCGATAATGCGCTCTCAATATAAGGCCACACCTCTCTCTTATCTCTAGCCCTACTGGATGAACACAAACTTCGACCAGTAGGAATATTCATCGACAGCCCTTTTCAGTCTACCGGAACAATAGGCAGTGATGTCGATCACAGGGTTTGTGCTTTAAATACTTAGGTCTTCGATTCTTTAAATTCGTTCAAACGTGCCATCGCTGCGTGTTCATGAATTCAAGAAACGATAAACGAAAACGAGCCAAAATGATGAATACCTTTATTGTGAACAACCGTCACTTGCTGGACCTTCTACAGTCGGTTTTGTCGGGATTTAGGGCATATAAATATTAGGTACATAAATGTGTCCCTCCACCGACCAGATGGCATGATCCAACCGCTCAAACAACCATCACCCGGCAGATTGCTTCATTGTTCGTTCTGTTTCTTCATCAAAGGAAATCGGGCAGCACTGTCACTACCGCGTACTCCGTGATAGATGGACGTGCCCTTGTGAGGCTGAGATTAAATTCTGTCCTGTTCTTTGAGCACAAAGGCTCTAAATGTAGCATCTAAAATCTACTATCTATCCATACAAATATCAAGTACAAACATGTCTGTTTTGGATATTTCAAAACCACCACCGAGGACTCAGAGGGTCGCCTGATTTCGAACAACGCACCCGGTACCTTCTGTGTCGTTGCGATCTTTGCCGTCGTTACCGTCAAAGATTTCTCTCGCATGAACCGTCGCAGGCGCCCGTAACCACTCATCCGCCTAGCTTAAGTACAATACTCACCCCGGCTCTGCAGACCGCCAACTCCACAGCAACTTAACAGCAACACGAGTGTGGCTCGAAGGTCAACGAAATCGGGAGTTCTGGCCGCATGTCCTTAACCCTTGGCCCCCGACGACGTAGCTTCCGACGTCATTAAATTGACAATTATTGCTTTGGGTAAGCTATTTCGAAACCATTAGATTCAACAGGTCATGGCGGAAGCTTCAGAAACGAAACAGTACACAAATCAGGCGGGAAGATATTGTTCAGACGTTCCCTACCAGCTGCGGGGCTGCCGTAGCTTTAGCGTCAGAGGAAGACGTTCGACTCAAAAAGTCACTAGTACTAAGTTCCTTATCTAAAGGAATTTACAGCCCATGACCAGGGCTCAAAGTTAATACCTTAGCTTTTATGCTTCAAAACCAAAAGCGTATTATTTACCATTATTGCGGCGAAGCCACCTAGGGTATATGTATCTGTTTAACTATCTTGCATAGCTAAACATACTCAATGCATAACGTGTGACTTCAGCCAGCATACTGAGAGTCCTTGTTAACTCTCCAGCTTATGTACTGAAATTTTGTTAGCTGTCCGGGTACTTCGTACCCCTGTGTGTTCCACACCATGTAGCCCCGCTACACCCTCCCCCAATAAGATGAGAACCTTCCTATCTCGAAACTTTTTTCAGCGAGGTCACGTCTTTGTAAGACGGCGGAGGTTACTACACCTCACACTAGCGTTGTACAGCTCCGTGAGCTCACGAACGCCTACGCATCGTTGATGCCCAACTTCTCGTCGGCCCACGACCCAATGTTTCAAGCGCATCGCGCATCTTGCTCTCAAGCGGTCTCAGACCCACGCTCGCACTCCGCGCCTACTCCAAAAACTGCAAAGCGCTGAGAGCTATGCTCTTGACTCATCCAAGTCGTCGACAGCAGCTCAGCGGTCCTTGTGGAAAGGTTACAGCCACCACTGTTGACTCACAACCAGGTCTCAGCGTTCAGCCGCTCAGCTAAGCGATCAGCTTGCCTTGCTCCTGCATATCGAGCTCTTCGCTCCGCGACCTGTGGCTCTGCCACATGCTGTTGATCAGCCTACTGTGGGTCCACCATTTACTGTCGTTCAGCCGCCCGTGTCGCTACCACCTGCTTCCCTGCAGCTGTCCGTGGCCCAGCCACCGTTGGCGCCAACGCTCCCCGCGCTCACCTGAGCAGTGTCTTGATATGGCTTAAGCAAGCCAACATAGAAGACTGGATGCATGCGTATCTTCTTCGGAAGGTTGAGCGTATACGCTAGGCCCTTCCTGGCCACGACCTTGATCGGTCCTATGAATCGAGGCCTTAACTTCGTCCCGAAGACTGCAGATACTGCATGAGCTTAATAAAACTTGATCATCGACCTCAAACCTCTCAGCATTGCTTCTGCACTTGGCATCTGCATGTTCCTTCCGTGGGTCTTGGCTTTCAGTGTTAGCGTCATGTACGTGACGCATTACGCTCAGTCTCAAAGAGACAAAGTCATCGACTTTCTTGCTAGCCACAACAGATATGGCATCAGCTAGCCGCTCGGCTATCCCTCCCCGTAAAGCCCTTACCACTGCTTGATGGCGTCCGTGGGACGCGAGGGTTTAGTAAGCAGTTCGCATAGAACGGAGTGTAGCCTGTCGAGGTGTGCACTGCATTATTTAATGCGAACTCAACGAGTGGGAGCATCTGGCTCCAGCGTTTTGGCGCCTCAGCGCATACACTTCGGAGGATATCCTCCACAACGCGATTCACGCGTTCGGTTTGACCGTCGGTCTGCGAATGGTCCGCGGTAGACATGTCCAAGTGAGTGACGATCACTCTGAAGAGGGACGTCCAGAACCTCGGGTGAAGCGCGGGTCTCGAGCCGAGCCAATTGCCTCAGGCAAGCCATGTTGGCGAAAACCTCGGTCTAAAAACAGCAAAGATTTACCTTCACCATCAATGGTGTCCGGCATCGCCGCTACATGAGCCATCTTGCTCATTCGGTCTGCAAAGACCACAATACCCGTGTTTTTTGCGTTATTCTTGGGAATGCCAAACATAAAGTCTACACTCATGGACTGCCAACATCCCTTGGGGACGGGCAAACTCGCCAATGACGCTGCCGTGCTCGGAGCGGACTGTGTACGTTGACACGTCCCACATGTGCGTACATAGGTGCCAACCCACTTATACATCTTGGGCCACCAGTACATCGCGCTCACCGAGTCATAGGGCTTCTCCCGACCTAAGTGCCCGCCCACCGGCGTATCATGCACCTCATAAAGGTTT